CCCCCCCCCCCCCCCCCCATTTCTAGGGGTTGTCGTTACGGAAAAGTCACTGGAAAGAATGCCTGATTTTGAAGACATTCGAGTCAGTCTGTGACAGCTTCAGTGGGACAGTCACCTTCTGCAACAGGATAAGCAGCAGCAGAGGATTGTTCTGAGGGGGTGTTTTCTCCTGTATTCCAAAGCTTTTTTCACTTGCTCTTTAGCTTCTCCTACGTAGTCCTCAACATTTTGCATATTTATCTCAATGACGTCGAAGGTGTCCGCCTGTTCCTCCACTAGCAGGGCCACCTGCAGAAAGAGCTCATGAACTTCCTTAATGCGGCCTTCCAACTTCACCAGCTCCTTATGACGTGTCTCTATCTCGTTCAGGGCTGAGCGAGCCCCCTTAACATCCGACAAGAGATTCTCAGAGAAGACATCCCACTTGCCTTGCTCAATCATCTCCTCAATCTGGTTGCCAGAAACATCTTTGCCCATGATCTCTAGCTGCCGCTGAATTCGAATCTTGCAGTTCTCCCGCTGGTTCATCTCTGTTGCATTGTATTCAAACATCGCTTCCTGAAATGCATGCATGAGGTCAACGTAGTGGTTCTTCGCTACCCTGGCAATGACAGACATAGCCCCGTACTTCGTTATTGCATCTTCGCTGAAATCTCTCATTATCTGGAGTTTCCTGTGGATGCTTTCTCCGCGGGCCTTGATGTCTCTGGCAATACAATTAGTATCTCGTTTGATGCTACTAAGACGGCGCATGGAAGTAAGGAAGCGGTTGTTTTGCTTTCTGAGCCGCCTGACATCCTCTTTTAGGTGGTCATTTTCTGTCCGGATATTCTCTATGTCTTTATGAAGAATTTCCAAGGCATAATCAGTCTCATAAAGGAGAACATCGTGCAGTGAATTTTCATCATCCTCGCTATCAGAAAACTGTTGGTTGTGTAACCTGGCAAATTCACGCAGCTCGTTTAGCCGGTCTTTCATCCTGCCTGTAAAACAGGGAAACAGGAGGAAAGAAGTTTACAGTAAATAAAATACTGGTTTGCAAGGGTTGAAAGTTCGTAACTAATAACTACATCATAGTTATAACTACATCGTAGATAACATAACTACATCAAAGATAGCCCAAAATACCAGATTTTAAATTTGTTCACAGTATTTTATACAGTGATAGACCTCAGATCCAAAACTCTGGTGCTAGAACACTCTTCTAGAAACTACAAAGCTTAGAAACTACAAAAGTGCAAGAGAGAAGACAACAAATCCTGAAGGCAAATCCAAAAGAATAATAAGACAATCCCCAACCCCCCCAAAATGCCGGTCTTTCGCTTGGAGAAAAAAAACAAACTCTTGAGCAAATGACAGGAAGCTTTCAGCTGTCAGCACGTGCAGATGTGTTAATAACTGAACGCTTCCCACCGCTGCTCACTACAGAAATCTCCTCTAGGTCTTGGCCCTTCATTACATCGACTGCCCCAAATGTCACAGGTCCTCTGTCATTCTAAGCTTGCTTTTCCTGGGAGAAGAGTAGGAAGCCTCTCAGAAACAGAAATGGCATTTACCAATACAGTTGGGAAAGAAAAGTTTCGAGAAATGGTGCGGGAAGTACCAAGATAGAATAAAAAAAAAACAAAAAGGAAAGGCAAGTTTAGGGTCTCCAGATGCTATCATTGACCACAGTGTACCAGGCATCAAACAAAACAACACAGCAATAGCAGCATTTTGTTAAGTAAAACCATCCATCCAACCCTTCTTTTTTGTATGATGGAAACATCCTACTGAAGGAATAAAGTAACACCATTGTTACAGATCAGGATCTGTTTTCTGTGTGTTTGCCTCAGATGTGCTTAACTACAAATTTCATTAAAAAGCCACAGAATGAGTAATCTGTACAGACCAGTTACAGGGTAACAAAACATAAGCCTCCTTTAAGTACGTTGTTTACTTGAAAGTCTAGACCTAAAGGCTTTGCAGAAAGTGAAATCTGAAAGCTTCAGCAAGAACCCTGCACCAAGTGTTACAGCAAGCAGGAAGCTGAAAATTTCCCATCACAAAAGCTGTACATCCCACGACCTCATTTAAATTCGTAAGAAAGAGAACCAAGTTAAGAAGCACCACCAAGCAGGACATCTCCAGATCTCTGTGTCTGGAGGATTCGTTTTTGTTCTTCCAGAAATTAGAGTATCTTCACAGCATTTACAAACATGCTATCCACTGTGAATGACACATCCCTTCATAGGACCATCAGTTATTCTCAGGTTAAGAAAAGTTGCGTGTGTACATACCCAGTATAATAGGCCTAGATCTAACGTGAATGAAAACTGCGAGTCTATAATCCGTTTCATGGGATTGTTAGATGTGTTAAAGATGTTAGGGAGGAGATGGGAAAGATGCCATCACAGGCGCAGCCTCTCGGGCTCGTATAGTTCATTGGGGGTATATACTCATCTTGAGAAGTGTCCTGATTAGGATCACATTTACACCGAAGAAAAGAAGTGAATTTCAACTTAAACCAATTCTTTTACAAGCAATGTAAACCAAGAAAGTCCATTAATATCCTGAGAGAAGAGCGTTCACTCAGGAATCCATGCATGTAAGATAATTTTTGAATTTAAAACATAAGCCACATAGATTCAACTCAATCACATAGATAAAGCTTTAGGAAATGAAAGGTTTTCCACCTCCTCCCTCAGCAATAATAAAATCAAGACTTTCACTTCATGCCACAACATCAAGAAGAAAAACCCCCATCTAAAAGGAAAAAAAAAAAAATGTGTGGGGCAGCTTAAAAGTCAAGTTTACTTGGCTTTAAAACCGTATGGCCAAGTTTTCCTAGAGGCACCGAGACAGTGAGAACATCTACCCTTCCTCTCTGGAAATAGTGGACCATTTTCTAGACAGCATGGTGGAAAGGGAACAAACAAAAGCATCTAGCAATCTCAGGATTATTTAGATCTCTTCTAATCACTAACTGTTTCTGAGATGCTTTTCACCTGCAACGTAGACGTGGCTCTGAAAACCAGTCACATTGCTCATCTGACTGCATTCCTGACTCCTACTGCCTTCCCTAGAGTTGATGATCCTCCCACTTCTAGTCTGATCCTTGAACTGCTGTGTGTTGTGAAAAACTTCAGCAGTTTATTCTTTTTGTGTTTAGCATCTACATTTGGAAACAGCAAACAATGTTTTTTTATGACTTTAAAGTGACAATCCACAGCAGCAAGGTGCCATTCGTGTAAACTAAATCATGTGTGTGCAGGACTGTGTTGCCTTTGTGTTCACTGTTCCTCGAACTTCAGAAAAACTAGATTTCATCAGCCTTCCACAGAGAGCAGACTGACAACGGGCTCAATAATAATTACATTTTATTTTTTGTGCTTGACAAAGAAAACACAAACAGAAAACCACACTGAGTAAGAGCTCCTGCATAATAAACTTATGATTTTGTACGAACAGGTCTACCCTTCCTTCCTTCTACCCTCAAAAGTGTAATTTGCAATTTGTTTTTCTCACCCACAACTATTTTAAAGTGTTAGATAAAATAAAAGTAGGAAGAAATGGAGAAGCAAATACACGGTAATTCACAACATGAAAATACTAATGCTGCAATAAGTCCACGTATGTACTAATTCTGCAGCATCTCTGTAAAAATATCGCTAATTTTTTTTAATACGACATGAAAGGTTAAAAAGTCAAACATTAAAAGAAGAGTAAGGAGATGCCAAGTGTGGCCTCAGATGGCACCATGATGTTGCCAACCCACAGGACGATCATGCAATTGAACACTGGCCTATGTCCTGTCACTTCTACCAAGTCTCTGCCTACGGTCTGCATGTGCTGAATAAAAGTTGTACAATGTGAAATTTAACACTCACCAATCAGTTCATGGACAGATATCTCATTTACTGTGTTACTACTGTTCATTTCCTCAGGGATTTCTCCTGTGAAATCCCTGGAAAGCTCCACAAACTCATAACAGTCTTTTGGGGGAGGGCAGATCTAACGGCCCCATCCACAGACATGGGTTTCAAGCCCAGAGTGATGAAGGACAACGCTATCACTCTCGATGAGTTATGATGCCCACTTGAGACACCTGAAGCACAGTTCTTTGTACCTGGTACGTTCAGAAGTCAGCTCCTTCTGACTTCAGCCACTGCTGCAAGCCTCGGGGGACTTTGCTGAGTAAGATCACGAAGTAACAAGCTGGACATCAGTGAATGAACACGTGGATCGAGGCCACTTGTGAGAAGCTCGTCTCCAATGATACGTACAGCATCACCCACAATCTCCGTGATCCAGTAGATCCGGCAGAATCCAATTCTAAATGTGAACAGAGGGATCAAATTACCCTTGCACTGACTATCTTCAACCTGGGGTTTCCCAGTTTCTGAGTGCTTAACTCTAAAAGCCTACATTATTTGAAACTACGTACCAAAACTTACATTCAAGGTGGTCAACATTAGGATCTTTTAACTCTGCATTGAGGACCTGTACCCGTCAGGGTAATGGCTCCACAGGGTAAAGTGACCATACTTTTGTCCTGACAAATGGATGCCATCTCTTCAGGCCTGACTTCAGAGTCCTGCAAAATCAGGGACTTCTGGACATCTTTCATTCGCCCTGAGTTCTGTCTTTTTCTCTCTGTTTCTAAAGTGCATCACTTAGCCTGCTTCCCACTTTATCTTCACATTTTCAAGATGCTCTTCTTTATCTACATACAGTGCCTGGACAGGATGAAGGACAGAAAGAGAATGACTTTCTGCCTGTATTTCAGCATCATATAAGGCCACAAACACCACAAATTGCAGAGGACACCTATCCAGCTTTATGCCAGAGCATGCTCAATTACTCTGTAGGTTAACATTTGCAATATTTGGCCGAAGAGATCTGTGAGGTTCAAGAAAATGTTTAGACTTCAGCTTTCTTGAGCACCTTTTGGTCAAGGAACATAGTAAATTTATTTGGGGCATTTGCAAACTGCTGCTTTGAGAAACTCACCATTTGGCAAAATTTTAGGAGTTTTACATAAGGAAAACAGCAGGCTCAAATGCAACACCACCACAGAGGTCTTTCCCCATTTCAAATTCCCATTTCAAACAAAGGGGAACCAGATCTTCCCAAGAGAGGACAATAACTTCCCAGCATTCCTTTGATAGTTCTGTCCCTGGCGGTGAAGAGCTGAAACAAATGAACAAGCAAGAATGGGAGAGCAGGGGGCAACAGCCATTTGAAAAATTTCAGCTTAACAGATCAGCATTTAGACAAGTTGACCTCCTTTACCAGATGCGGTTGTTACTCAGGAAAGTTTGCATCTACTTACATGTTGATAGCATTGTTTGTAATTAAAACAGCAATATATTAGTACATTACTAGTTGTTAGGGATAGGCTCAGCACACGTTCTTTAAAATGAGTGGCAATCTCTCCCTTAATCTAGGGCCTGGTGCAGCAGTAGAAGTTGGGCTCCCTGGCTAGAAAGCAGCTCTGCAGAAAAGGACTTTGGTGTGCTGGTGGACGTCAAGTTGAACATGCGTCAGCAATGCGCCCTTGTGGCAAAGGAGGCCAACAGCATGCTGGGCAGGAGTAGCAAAAGTGGTCGAGAGAAGTGACCCCTCCATCTGACACCTGAGAGTCCACATCTGGAGTGCTGTGTTTGTGCTGGGGCTCCCCAGCGCAAGAGACAAGGACACACTGGGGTGAGTCCAGGGGAGGCCACCAAGATGGTCAGAGGTGCTGGAGCACCTGACGTATGAGGAGAGGCCGAGAGAGCTGGCAACGTCAGCCTGGAAAACAGGAAGCTCAAGGGAGATCTTGTTGCTGTCATCAACTGCGTAATGCAAGGGTAGATCCTTCATGGAGATGTAGAGCGACAGCACAAGAGGCAACAGACCCAAGTGGAAACAAGGGAAAAGCCAGCCAGACAGTAGAGGGGGAAAAAAAAAAAAAAAAAAAAAACCCAAACATTTAGAAACACTGGAAAAGGTGC